CAGGATCACGATAGTACCGTCTGCACACCCAACCGCCAAATGCTGTCCCAGATATCCCTCTTCTCTAGCAGGAGCAGCATCCCCATCCTTCTTGCGCCGTGGCCTCCATTGAGGCTGAACTGCTAGACACCAGATTTCTCCATAATTTCCGCTTGAATGTCTTGCTGGGCGGCCTGATTCCAAATCCCACTCCGTCACGACGCTGGAATATCCAATGCTGAAGAGTCGCAGTTTTCCCGCCACCTCCTTGCCTTCGATAGTTTCGCTTGGGTCAAGTGTCCATGCTAATCCTTCGATGCTGCGGTCCTTTCCTCCACGAAGAATAGATTCTTGAAACCAGGCACCACGTAGAGGGTTCCAAATCTCGATATCACCATTCGCTCGTCCGATCGCAAGTCTTAATGTGGGAAAACCTCTGCCTTGGATCTCATTTGAGGGAGGGTGCGAAAAGGCCAGCGCGTTGATCGCTTGCGGATTGTATGGCACGAATCGACATCTATGGATATCCATGGTGTCTGAAGCTGTTTCCTGTGTCGAAAATCCGTGAGCTCTGCGGGCAATGGTGGAGGGCGCAGCGCTAAAGGAGCTGGAAATAAAAACACAGCTCTTCAGGCTCTTTTATCGCAGCCATCCATCGCAGCTCTGCTTCTTAGAATGTCCCTTCGACTTCTGTTCATGAAAGCTTTGCTGCTTCAAAACCAAAAAAAAAAAATTATCTTTGGCGCTTCTTCCCCCGAAGGCAATTTTTCTCGAGGTCGAGGTGTCACGTGATATAAAAATTCGGGTAAACTTTCCGCCAGAGAGTAAACTCCGAGGCACATCAAAGAACTACGAGAAACATTCAAACATCGAGATGGAATGATTATTTGGATGCCGGCGTTGATATTGACGGGACTGGGGTTTGATAGGACACATCGCTCGGTGAATCACACCTGAACTAGGGGGCTAGAGATTTGTCAGGATTATTGGACAGCCGTATATGCGGGTTTGCTCTAGTATTGGCTACCGGACGTCTACGAAACACCTCCTATACCGTCACTTCGCTTCGTCTCCAGAAACAGTGAAAAGACACCGGTCTTTCAAAATTGAGTAACAAGAATGCTATCGTTTCTATGCAAAACGGAGTTGTTTGTATCTTGTGTTGTTCAGTCGGTATAGAACTACACTGCCTCCGCCATACGCGCGGGGTCAGTTTCATATATCGGCCCGCCATCAGCCGGCAAGAGCACAAATTGATCACGTATTGAAACTCCTGGTCATAGTTTGTTGTGTCCGGCAAACTTCCTGCCGGATCAAAATAATAAGCAGAGTGGTGGTCCAGGTTTCTGCCAGGGTCGCACCAAGTGTCCGGCTCTGTGTCATGTTGACAGGAATATACGAGAAAGGTTTGAAGCCGGCCTGCGCATACTACCTGCGTGGAGAGACACAGACAACCACAAATGTAGTCTAGGACCGGGACAGCAGTTGTAAGGGCACAAGGAAAGGGGGTTCTCAAGGCGCCTCTTCGGCTACCGGTGGGAGGTGGCGTGAAGTTCGCGCGTTGCTTGCGTATTGTACTTTAGCAAACATCTGACAAGAGGCAAGGAATGTCGTGGACAGAAGCCATGGCAGGGAGAAAGAAGGATGATCAGGTGGAAGATGTCTCAGCAACCGGTACTATTTGTTTCTTCCCCCCTGGGATGTCAACGGCGTACAATAAAACATGTGCCCGGCGCCTATGGTAACCAGCCGGTGGTTAAGTGCCCTGACCGTAGTGAGTATCCCAAGAGATAGATACATCGTCACTCCCGTCTGCAGTTCCCTTCAGCATGGAACGGAGTAACCTTCCACTGCAGAAGCGAAGGCACTGCGAAATTAGACGAAGAAATCGGGTGAAGACATATAGAGCGATGAACAGCGATCTATATCTCCGCCACCCCTTGGCCTCATTTTTGTCGGTGAAGAGGTTGTTATCTGTTTTATCTCCCTTTACAGGAAGATATACGGCAGTCGGTATGCCCATATCAAACTTCTCTCGGAGGGCAGCAGGACATTATCCTGCGGGAGAAAAGGAAACATGAGCATAGCCATGGAAGCGAGGTCGTACCATCGAGATATAGTCCTAGCAAAGTATATCTTCTCTCATTGACAGTGCAACTTGCACATTTTATTTAATCTATGCGATGTTTCACCGTCCTGACGACGAGAGGGAAACATGGGAGAGACAAGATACCGTATGGAAAAAAAAAAAAAAAATTAGTTGCGGGTAACTAGACATACTCTGGTAAGTTAAAACAGTTTGTCTGATTGCAGTATTTACCTGCAACCAAGGCAATCTGCCTATAATTACATACCTGCGAGCATGGTTCAAGGTTGACTTGTTTTTGAATATGTATGTTTGCCTTCACCCCTTTTTTCCCACTTTCTTCACCGCATCGGATCCAGTCAGTTTATGATATAACGGGAGGCGCCTATATCCCCAACATGAAAAGGATGCAAGGCAACAAACTCGACAACTTCCATGGCGCATATGGGGAACACACGATATGTAGAGTGACGAGCTCGTCACTCCCGTATATGTATGTAAGTAAGGTGGAAAGCTCACTTCCTTCCGCTCGTCCTTTTGGGGACAAGAAAATAGTTACATGTACGGAGTATCGCCATCCGACCTGTCTGGTTCAGCCCTATATCACGAGAAATTATATGCTGATCGTGTGGCGTACCGGGGACTTTTTGGTACGAATTATTGGGGAAAGGCTAGGGCAAGGACCGATGGTCGACTTTTTCAGCTCTTGGTCCTGCATGTCCCACGGCCGACCTGGATGGAGTGAAGGGAATAGTTTGAGCAAGCGTGGGAGCTAGTTTTTGCGTAGCGGGTTGCGGGCTGACATCAGCCCCTTAATTAAGGGCAGCCAGCGATGCCACGTCAGAGACAAGAGAGCACACACAGCGGAGGATTCAATGCAGGAGCTTCAGGGATACGAAGAAGGGCTGTCGTTAAGTTAACTTTCCTGAGAGGGCACAGGCAAGTCACGATTACTATTACTTCGGAGCTTACTCAGTATTGAGGAGCATTTTTTTTTAGCTTGCGAGGTAGCTAGTGAAAGGGGGCAGGAAACGGGCACCAGAAGCGATTGTTTGATTGACAGCCCCATTGATTGACGGGACGGTTGGTCGCAGGGCTGCTTCCGGGGCCTCGGAGCCCGCATGCCAATTCAGAGGCAATAGTTGCATTGATAGTTGGTTGTTGGAAGCCTTGGATTTAGCTGTTGGACGGATGATGATCGTGACAAATAAATCATATAAATCACTTCTGCTTGAATTTATCATAAGACAGTTGCAGCTATGCTATTGCATCGGAGAACAAGGAAGACAGGGAAGAAAAATATCTCTTATCTCTTCCTTTTTCTTTTGGCTGTCCCCAACCAGAGTTCCTTATGAGTCGCTTTTCAACCGAGAGTAGCCTTGGTTCCTGACCGGATAACGAACGCCCTCTCTTGAGCGCCTTTTTTTTTCCCATTTTTTTTATTTCCTTCTCTTTCTTCTTTGCAGAGCTTCGACGATGGGGCTGGCTTGGGCTTACCCGAATGATAAAATGGCCGAAGAAGAAAAAGAAGAAGAAGAAGCTCTTTCTCGCTCGTTCGTTATGGAGCAGCGGAAGGAGTTGAAAAAAAAAAAAAAAAGAGACGGCAGGCTCACGGTAAGATACGGTAATAAGTGACAGTACACCATATAAATGTTGGATACAGCGGTACTAGCGCGCCCTTTCTGGTAAGGCACGACCTCGCGCTTAAGTCCAAGTCCGCGTCATTGTCCAATCATAACGCGCCCTAGCACGTGGAGCTCCCGCCCCACTTATCTAGATTGGGCAGAGATTTCGCGTTTAATTGGATTTAAGGTTCCTCAAGTGGGTCCAGCTCGGGTGTGCCTATTGGAAATCCGCTTTCTTTGTGCAGGTTGGTTGATTGCTCCGATGCTAAGACAAGACAGCATGGGTAGGGCTGTTCCTACGCTGGAACTCGTCACATTAGTCTACTGATTTTTTGCGTGAATTCGTGCATAGTGCAAGGTTTTTAGCTTCACTCCGATTTTTTTTTTTCACATTCACTTTCTTATTTCGCGTTCTCGTCCTGGGGTGAAACTTTCATCGTGTTTTTTTGTTGGTTTCCGGTACTCTGGCGCAAACGCACGTCAGCGCTGAAAGCGACAGAGAAGCTTAAAATTAGCCTAATTAGCGAACGGCTTTTTGGCGCAGCGGAACATCTGTAACCAGCTATTTAAGTGGTGGCTATATCGGCTGACTGGAAGTTGCCTTGTTAGGGCGGCAAGGCAGCTTCCCGCCATGTACTTGGGTGCTCACTGCGCCGCCGCGTACTGCCAATTCCCCAGCTCCGGGGGTGACGGCGTTCCCCTGCATTTGAAGATGACAACACCGGGATTGCAAGCCCCATTATTGGTCAGAGTAGCGCTAGTGTGGGCGCTTAACAAAAGCATATACAGGGAAGTTTATTTTTCCGCGGCGTATTGGTGTAAGATACGACGGTTACAGAACCACGATACCCGTTGAAAATAACGGTTTTCCCGTACTGCGGCAGTTACTTACTCCGTACATACAGAATGTCTTTTCTAGAAAAGCAAAAAGGCGACGATGGACAGCAGCGACAGACGAGACGGAGCGGAGGAGGGACTTACTCCATAACGAAGTACTTACTTATCGTGAGGACGGGTGACAAAGAGAGAGACACTGCTTGCAGACAAAAAAAGAATAAAAATAAACACAGCTTCCAGGACTTGCAACGGGGAGAAAAACGTGGCATGCTCTGTCTCTTTTTCTCCCCGGACTGCCCATCAATTTAACCGAAAGAGTCAGTGATCGTACGAGCAGCGAGGACGAAGAAGCAGTGGTATGATTGACGCTTGCCTCTTTCATTCGGGGTTGTCGGAGGGTTGGTTGCAGCCATGGATGCGAGCCGGGGTCGCCGCAGTTGCAGGTGGTTATTAATAGGGCCTTGTCCCTGAAGATGTTTGAAATACCGCTGTGGATGAGACACATCGTGCCTGATGCAGCATTTCTCCGCCCAGAATTAAAGAAGAAGAAGAAGAAGAAGAAGGAGAAGGAGAGTATTATCGGATCTCCGAAGTAACACCATCAATGGGGGGAAGGCTAAATTGATTAACCATGTTACCGTACAGCAGACACCCCCAGAGACATACATACAGAAAGCAAGACAGACAGAGACAAAAGTGCGGAAGAGATATGGGATATAAGTAAATATTTCTGATGCATTCGCTGCAGGCGCCGTGACTGTTTTCAGAATACAGATAGATCCAGGCCCGAAGAGCGACGAAGAGCCCATCCGCCTCTTGCTTCAAGAGTCCCAACCAAGTTTAAAACAAACGGACAAGTCGAAAATGACACCTTTTTCCGCCCCCCTTTCTTTGCCGCCCGTCCATCTGTCCATCCATCCATCGTTGGGTTTCATTCCTGGCAAAACGGTTAGAAAGAGGGAACGGAACCGCTGGGTCGAGAGAAATCCACGCAGGCATTCCAAGGCTGGTTTCTTATTTATTCAGTTGTCATTTCAACTGTTTGTCCCCAGCCGCCTCGCCCCGTTATTATTATTACTCTTCTTCCCGGCTTTTCCTTAGTAAAGACGTAAGTTAAGCAAGGGAAGTACGGAGTAATTTTTTAATTTTTCACACTGCTCACACGAGCGGCGAGCTTTGTTTCGCGTGCCCCCTGCTAACGCGGCGGCGATTGGAGATTGGAATAAATAACTACTTTTATTCGCCTGGTTAAAAAACAATTACTGTGACGTTTATATTTCCTAAAACTCAGTACCTGTGTATGGATGGGCGCGGATGTGACTGGATTCCTTTGTATCGGGTTCGGCGTTCATGAAACCAGGCCGATGGATCGAATAGCTAACAGTTAGCGGACGAACGACCTACCTGCTTTGGCTAATTCTGGCCCATCGAACCAAGGACGGCCTGAGGCCAAACTAGAGCACTATGGGTGACGGAGAGAGCTATCGGCTGGGGGTGAGCAGGCCCTTTTGGTGGTTTTCGTGATTCGGATGTGCTGGGCCCAGAGAGGATCATCGATCCAGTTTCCAGGGTGAACCTCGCTGTCGCGTGTAAGTATAAGTTGTAAAGGCGTCATTGTATGCCTGTTGATCATCAAACCCGAGGTAAAGGAAGGATTAAACTCAGCGATGCCAATACCAGAAAAGGTGGTTAATATCACAGCAAAAACTCTAGATAGGGCGTCGAGAGTCGAGTGAGGAGCAAGCAAAGCAAAGCAGCGGAGGCCTCGCCATCTGATGCATCTGATCTGGAGAAACCATGGCCGGACAAGACGCCCGGCGATGATCTCGAGATGGCCTATCAAACCAGGCCGTCTGTATGAATGAGCGTAAGTCTGTAAGTATGGATGTGTATGGATGTAAGTATGGATGTATTTGGGTGTACGTATGTATGAGAAGTATAAACAGCCCGTCGAGAGGCTCGTAACTGGCCGATGAGACTTGATACTGGGCTGGGCTGGACTGAAACGCGATAGCCAGCAGGCGCATCAATGAACGCAGGGGAGCATAAACCGATCTGAGGCGATAGGCGTTTCAGTCGGAGATGCATATCTGATCTCTGCGGTCGTACTTGATAGCCCAGCTATTAGCCGTAGTAGTCGTAGTGGTAGCAGTAGTAGCAGTACTCCGTGGTACGCACTGTATAGCTAGGCGCGTGCGTGCCATGGTCGCGAAGGGGCCCATGTCCGCTCGATTGACTGGTTAGCAACGCCCGGGACGAAAGCCCATCACGTCGCATCGCTGCATCGTTTTGCTCGATCTAACTGCTCGATTTCCAAGGCAGCAGCAAGAGATAAGCTTCATGGCCGAAGGAGAAGAGCCAATCGAGGCGCAGGATTTGATATAATGAATGTCCTGTGGGAGGGGGTGGTCTGGCCCTTTTTGATAGCATGTGTATGTAGTTAGTCGTTATGCTGCTCTGCTGACCAGTGAAGGCTGCAAGTCTGGGTGCGCTTGAGACAGAAGAGGACGACGCTATCGAGCCGCAACCACAGAACGGCGGGCTTTATATCGATTCTTGACGATGGCGAATCGGTTTCACAGACCCCTGGGACCATGGGCGACAGGCTCCTGGAATCAAGGAACACTACACACCCAGCCGGTCGACGGGAAATCACAGAGTTGACCACACCACCCCGTAGTCTACGTATACTGTTGTGTAGTTAGGGGTGGCGATGATACACATGAAAGATTGTTCGTTTGTTGATCTGATGTAAGGAGAACTGGTTGAGCCCAGTGTAACTGCTGGGAACTACAACTACGGCGCATCATCCAGCAAGCTAGAAACCTGCTTCGGACGATGGCTTCTGGTCATCAGGACAGCAGATTCCAGAACACGCAAGGACCGTGGAAAATGGGACGACCGTGTGGCGATCTAGCAGGTGTTTGGATGAAAAACACACACACACACAGAGAGAGAGACAGGGAGAGAAAGCTAGGGAGATAGAGAGGGACCAGCATACAGATTAATTACGTCTGTGGTTCGAAGCGATCGCACAGCGCCATCGGCCTTCGTATCGGGCATGACCCAAAAAAAAGGGCCATAGAGAGATGGTGATTGGCAGATCTGACAACCGCAGCGATCGAGCAGCAGTTTGCATGAATATCAGATGCCGCAGTCAAAAACACCATCTTGAAATTCCCCATCCTATACCCCATCTCCCATCAGCGAGTTTGGTGAGACTGGGAATAGGACTTGATACGGGCTGTTTTTTCGACGGTGCTTGCAGATGCTGTACGGAGTAGATGTAGATATAAACAAGGACAACCCCCCCGCGTCCTCCAACATGTACCCTAAGAGCAAAGATATTAGCCACCCAAGGGGGAGCCACTTTTTGCCATGGAGAGGACGTCATCGATCGAAAGGGGGAGGCTCCTCCGATCTCCCTATCCAGCCGAAGAGGGCCCCAGGGGGGGGGAACATCCCTCAACAAGCCAAGTGACATCAGCCTGAGGAGCTCTCGGCCCATCCTCGCAGACATGCCGGACGATCAAGAGCAAGCAGCAAACCTGGAAAAAGCGGGGGAAAAAGCCAGAAGACGACGACGATGAGGCAGCAGAGCCAGCAGACATGGGACATCCGAGCATGCAGATGTGGCGAAAGACGAGCTGCCGGAGATGAAAGCGGCTCCTTCGTAAGCGTAACTAGAGGAAGGGGGGGCTGGCTTGCTGGCTGGCTGGCTGAGCAGGACAGGACAGGACACATCCATACACCCAGCGTATCCCTTCTGTAAGAACATCTGGGTCCATGATTCTGGAAGGTCAACAAGAAGTTGGAACTGCGTTATGACCTATTTTTTTTTTCTTGTTTCCATAACTAGTTTTTTTTGCAAGTAGCTGTAGTTATTTCAATTCTTCTACTCTTCGTCGTCCTGCTGCTCGACTATCCCCAAGCCACCGATCATCTTCCGTTCCATGGAGCAGTCAGTTGAGCAGGAGGAGCGACTAACGAGCTAGCTTACCATCGTACGAAGGAGAAGAGAGAGCGCACAGCAGAGAAGGGGGACACGGTAATGGACGGGAGCCATCCCTGGAACGCCATCATTCGTATATGTGTATGCAGCACAGGCAAAGCAAGCAAAGACGAAGACGGACGACGGCCCACGACTGGCCGGGCGAGAGGCCCTGAGCCGCATCTCAGCCTGCCTGCATATTGCATCGCATCGCATCGCATCGTCCTGTCTGTCATCAAGTCATCAAGGTGCCCTGCGATCTATCTGTATGCCTGGAGAGAGTCCACCGGTGGAGCACGGCGAGTGTCAGAAGGCAGGCAGAAAGGTCAAAGGGCTGAGACTTGGGGGGGGGGTTGGTGGTGGTATTTTGCTTCTTCGTGAGCGCCGTTTCATTAACGATCCTGACTAGCTGGCGTCTCTGGCTGGCGATGGCCCCTTCGCAAGCAGCGAAGGCAAGCCCTTGAAGCCTCTTTTCTGGTCGGAGAAAAGAAGAAAAAAAAAAGGGCGAAGCAGATGAAGATGAAGAGAAGCGAAGAAGCAAATATAACCAAAAAAAAAAAAAAACAAAAAAGGGTTGGAAAGTTCCTTGGACGGGGTTTCTTTGGCGTATTTTGCATATGGTTGGTATTACGGATACCGGTCTATAATACGGAAAGCCGTACCTGACATACGATACAGTACTTAACTTACTTACAATACGCAACTCGCATCGAAACTTCGATATCGAATATCTCTCTCTGTCTGTCTGTATATACGTTATATTCGTCGGTGAAAAAAGGGAGACGGCGAGGAGAAAGACATAGATGCAGGCAGGCAGACCGGCGAATCCTGCGCCCCCCGTCTGCTCTATCATCGCCATCATCATCATCACCATCTTCTTCTTCTTCAATTTTCTATCATCCTCCTCTGCCTGCCTGCTTCCGTGTCGCACGCACAAAGGGAGAGTCAACGGTAACGTCTCAGGTAATACACAACACACACCACCACCCCCCCCCTAGGCGTCTGCCTCTCTGCTACCTCTCCCTCCGCCTTTAAAAAGAAAAGAAGAGCCTGCATGGCCAGAGTATAGGCAAGAGGCAGCAGGTCCCTTGTCTTCCCTTGTCCCCTCGTGTCCAATCAGTCGCGCCCTCTGCTCGCTGGGCAAAACCCGCCCCTAGCAACTCTCGCAGCTCCAGCAGCCAGACGGCCCTGGCCTCTCTCGAGCCTTACTGACTTACCTGGGTTACCTTACCTTACCTTGACTTTCTTACTGTACGCCTATACTAGTGTGAGTTGTGGGTGCTAACTGCTCTCCAACCTAACCTCCGTCCATCGCTCGTTTCGCTGCGTCTTCTTCATCTCGTCTGCGTCCTCTCCTTCTCTCTCTTTTCTTCTTCTTCTTCTTCTTCTTTTCATCCCCCAGGAGAGACAGCTCCTTTATCTCTCTCCCTTCTCCCTCCTCTCCCTCTCCTTCTCTCTCTCTCTCTCTCGTCTCTCTTCCTCTCGTTCGTCTTGTCCCTCTCAATTCTTTCCTCGTTCCGGATCCGCTTGGGTTGGGGGGCTTGTATCGACCACCGGCTTCAGAATCTGCAAAAAAGGGAGCAAATAAGAAAAAAAACTTCTTATAACAACGCTTCAAAGTGGAACTGGACTATACTCGTCTCCCACCCGGCTTGCAAAAGAAGACTGATCAGGCTTGTTCTCCTTCCGTTCGTCTCTCTTGCTTGTCTTGCTCTTGTCTTTTCAACTTGCCCCCTCGCAGGAAGAGAAAAAAAAAGCCAGCCGTCCTGCTCCATCACCACCACCTTTTTTTCTTCTTCCCTCTTCCTCTCTTCCCTCTCCTCTGGCCTCTTTCTTCCTCCCCTTCTTCACGAGCTCACGAAGTCAAGTCAATATCAATTTCTAACCTGGCCGTCTCGTCTTGCTCTCTGCTCCAGACCAGCCGTCTCCCTTCTCGAACCCCCTAAGCCGTTCCTCCAGCTGTCTGCGTTGGGGTCGGGATATACGGAATTTCCAGTCGTCTTCTGGGTGAGAACAACTCCCTGCCTCTCTCCCCTTTGCTTTTCGTCTTTCTCTTCTCCCTTTGCTTGCTGCGTTTTCCCGGACATCGTCTGTCGACTCCGAATATACGGCATTGAAGAGGTCTCGCTGTCACTTCACCTGCATCCGTCACCGCCAGCTTCGATTGAATACTCCTGCAGTCACCCGTCGTCAAGTCACTACAATCCCTCTTTCTCCTCCCATATCGCCTATATATCGAAGGATCTAGCGGCAGATTTCGGGCCTGGGGCATCGTCTCTGCTCAATTGGGCCCTGCCAAACAGCTTCGAATGTTCCCATCACACGTTTTCTGCCCCTGAATGCCTTTCCAACATCTCTCTCCCGTTGAACCTTCAGCAAACACCAGCAGCCTTCGACCTAGGCCTCTCTGCTCTTCCCCCCGTTGCTCTGCAGCTTGCATATCTCACATAATTTACTTTGCCCCCCCGGAAAATCACTACCTGGAAAAAAGTGGTAGATGATGTGTTACACGGACATTAATATTTGTTGATTCACTATAAAGGCTAACATATGAACTCTGTTTTTCTCCTCCTGTCTTCTAGGAATCTTCCGTCCGTCTGTCTGTCTGTCAAGCGAACATTCCCTCTCCTTCACGACTGTCGTCTAGTCGTCTCGGAGCAGCCCTGCCCGGTGTCGTCGAACAGTGGAGACGTTAGCTCGTTGTTCACTGGTCCACACCACCACCTCCTCCCTCTTCGTCGAAGCAAGATCTCGTCCGTCTTTCTTCACCTCGCTGTCGACTTAGATGCTGTGAGGTCCGTCGGATAGGGTTGTTATATACCCAGCCATACATCGCCAAACTGGGTACTTCAGACACCTCTCCCCCCTACCCCGTCGTTGAATCAGCCACTTGAACCAACTCCCTCCCACACCTATATACAACAACACATCAACATATACACCTCTACGGAAAAGGGAGAAAAGCTAACAGATGATAGCGTTTGTTCAAACTTCATATTTCGGTCTTCGACCGTTTTCAACGGCACAGATTATTGTCTGTGTCTGACTTTCTTTAATATTCCCCCTCCCTACTAATACTTTTACGCTCCTTAATTTGCATTTTTTTCGCCGCAACGACTGTCCCTCTCTTGAAAACCCCCCTCGTCGTAACATAGTTTGCTAGAGCTTAGCAAGACCACACGCCACTCATTTTCATCTCGCTGGAAGTTACGCGGAGCGTCCCTTAAAATTCTTCCTGCGAGAAACCAAAAGTTCTAGTGCTCTTTCACGCTCTCCGGAGACCGAACCAATCCAAATAAGCCCATCCAACATGGCATACCAACGCTGTCAGACTACGACTTACCAGCCGTGCGATAGCTACTTCGTCGAGAGCTACGATCAAGACTATGTACAGCCTCAAGTGCATCATCAACAGCCACAGCACCCGCAGCAGTCACAACAACCTCAATCCCATGTGAACCCACGGGAACATGCTCGGCTACTGGCCAGGGAGCGTCAGTATGCAATTGCTGATCAGATGTCACGCATGGCTACGGACGAGTATCAGGAGGACATCTTGGCGCACATGCACGCAATGGACACTGCCACCCAGCCCGATGTCGACTCCATAGACATCCAGACCGAGATCCAATGGTTTATGCGGCCATACCTGCTCGACTTCCTCATCGAAGCCCACGCTGCCTTCCAGCTGCTGCCAGCTACCTTGTTCTTGACCGTTAACCTGCTTGACAGATACTGCTCAAAAAGAGTCGTGTACAAGAGACACTACCAGCTGGTTGGATGTGCGGCTCTGCTTATTGCTGCCAAGTACGGTGATAAGAAGGATCGTGTCCCCACAATCAAGGAACTCAAGTCCATGTGCTGTTCGCTGTACGATGACGACATGTTTATTCAGATGGAGTGGCACGTCCTGCAGACATTGGGCTGGTCAATTGGCCACCCAACCGTCGACAGCTTCCTGCAGAACGCCGTGGTCGACACACCCTACGATCCCGAGGTCGAGCATCTCGCATTGTACATTGCCGAGATTTCCCTGTTCCACCGTGACTTTGTCTCCAAGCTGTCGTCCGACATCGCCAGAGCTTCGCTTGCTCTGTCCCGCTGCATCCTCAACAGACCACAGGCCCCGCAGTCCGATTGGGCATCCAACTACGACTCACTAACGCTAGTGAGCCTCTCGCAGTACCTTCAGAAGCCGTCGCACGTGCTGACCCGGAAGTACTCGTCGGCTCACTACTCCCGCGCATCCAAGCTTCTAGAACAGTTCCTTGCCCGCCAGGAGTCTCTGAACAAGTCGTACAACCCTCCTACTCCTCCAAACGATCGTATGTGCGAGTCCAAAGCTCCATACGAAAATGAGGCTGGGTTGGCTACTCCACAAAAGACACAATACCCAGCAGTATCACATGGCTACATCACGCCACCCATTACTCCGGAGAACGATGCATTTGGTGTGCCAGGAAATCCCAACATGGCCAAGGATGGAAGCACAATGCTATACAATTGCCCACCCTCTCCCACACCGGCGCCTACCATGCAGTATACAGCAGCACAACATTACGAAATGACAGACGCTTCCGCCTACTCGCATCATCGGCTCTTCCCACAACCACCGGCACAAACTTTCAATCCTGTGTTCTAAGTCTACGAACACAACAAATGGTCCCCTGATAACTAAAAGAGGATACCTGCTCGGCCCGGTCCGACTGGGCTCCCGACCCTGCTACATCGGACCGGATTTATTACTTCTCCTTACACGCTTACATAATTACACTTGAGCCAAGGAGAAGTGATAGTTGATACCCCCTATTCTGCCGGCTGGTTGGAAGTTCACCCCTTTTTATCTACTCGGCGTCGGACGGTGAATTTGAAGATGCAGGCTCTAAGCCCTTGTCTATGCTCACTTCAATTTCACCCTCTTGCTACAAAACTATGGTCGAAAATCGGGGACTTGTTCAACTACCGCTCACGAACAAGCAAACATCACCCTCTTCCCCCCTCCCATACCAGATATCTCCTGTTTATTCTAGCTTTTATTCCCGAATCTAAAAACGGTTTCCAAGTAAGATTCCGAGTCAGTTTTTTTTTTCCCTATATTTCCTATGTTCTGCATCTCATAAGTCGTTTTTATCATTAGTACCATTTTATTGCCTCTTTTTTTGTTTCTATTCCTCTGCATTGCAAGCGTGATTCATCTGAATGCTCTATTTCGAAATCAGCTGTTTCCAGCCCTTGTACCATGTCAACTACTCTCTCTTGCGAGCTAACCTCCTTTTCCCCTCCATGCTTTGCAAGTTTGCCGATATTTGTCTGAAGCGTTCCGCATCTCTGTCTTGTCAGTCTCTGTCTCTCTTTGCAGCTGCCAAGCAAACTCACTGTTGTTTCCATCCTTTCTCAACACAGATCATCTGGTTCGGCTCCTTTCTCTCCTTTTTTTTTTCCATTTCCGTCATCTTCTTTCTTTGACTCTTTTGCATTAAACCCTGTGTGAGTAAGTGTGGGATCTATTGCTTTCCTTTTTCCCTTTTATTTCCTTCTTCCTTTTTCATTGTCTGATGCATTCTTAATACTGTTTTTGAATACCCCTATATACCCCTTATTCTCGACGCTGTTCTTGTTTATTGCAAATGGTCCCTTTTCCAACAAAATACCCCGGTGACCGCAACAAGCTGTGGAGAGATATTTCGAAAAAGGAGGAAGAATACAAAAAAAAAAGCAGAAAGAAAGAAGAAAATTGTTGGGGGGTTGAGGAGAGTTTTCTAAAGGACTTCTACTACTTAATACCTGCAGAAACACAGGGGACGAAAAGAGGCGAGATTGAGATCCAGAAGTGAGAGCAAGTTGAGCTGTTTGTCGTTTGTACCAATTGATCGAGTTCGAAGGAGAAAGGAAAAGGGTCGCCTCCCCCTCGAAAGAAAAAAAAAAAAAAGAAAAAAAAGTAAAAAAACATAAAAAAAGCATCTTGTTTTTCCCCTATTGTTTATTTTCTTTCCCCTTTTACACCAGCCCTTTCCCTACCCTTCCATACCTTCGAGATTCCTGTGTGCCCTTTCCTTACAGAGCCAAGTGGTTGAAAGCAGAGACAGACTGAGTCGGAATTATTTAATACAAACTATCTCTGCTCGCGGTGAAACTCGCCTTATCTTGACTTTGATCTTTTTCAAGTAACAACTTCATGTAGTAAATAAGTAAAAATAAAAATAAAAAAAAAAAAAGGGAGAAGAAAAATGATATAAAAGAAATTATGAAGAAGAAAAACTTGCCAATCCATATTACATAATCATTTTGGTTACGTAAGTGCATAAAACGAGTGAAATTTCCTTTTCAGGTAATGCTCGCGTTTATACAGCTAGTTATGCGCACATTTAACTTTTTATGCACTGGGCAATAACACTTTTAGCGCCTTCGAAATACGGAGAACTTTTTAAACACATTTGAAACGCCAAACATCAGACGGAAGGGAAAGCAAAAAGCAACCTCCTCGCTCTGCCTCGGTTCACTTATCACCGAAGACGCAGAGACGCCCCATGACTCGCCATGCATGTCTTCACCAGGATGCGCCTTGGCTGCCGGTCGCAATGTCTTTCTTGCTGCGACAAGGAGCAAATTAAGAAATCCCAAGAGTCCTGTGGAGAAAGACAGCAGGCGTCCTCCGTAAAGTCACTCCACCCTCCATCGTCATAGCCGGCGCAAGTCTCATGAGATACTGGCCTCTCATTCGTGGCTGATTATGTTACTAAGAAAGGAATAAACCTCCCAGATCGCTGAAGGAACGCCGCGGCGACATGATGAAGTAAGTACATCAGTACTACAGCGGCACGTACTTACGTACACCCGGCCCCAGAATGGCTCTGTTCGAAACGACAATCGCAGGCAGGAACATATGTAGGAGAAATCAGCACACCAGGTTCTCAGGGACGATCTTATGCCGCACGTCCGCAACTCCCTGCGGCTCGCTCGTCTCACGAGTTCATGGGCGTGGGAAAAGGCGGTTATACACCCGAACGAACACCATTAATATTTTTTATTATATTGGTTGACCAGATTATTAAAGGGACCAGGGAAAGACCCCGGCTCGGCCAAGCGCGTGGCGCCTGGGCAAAGCACTGCCAGCCCTGACTCCAACACAGGCTTGAGCGAGCTGTGTCTCTCTCATTCTGCATGGCTGTGCATTCTAGATGAGCTGGTATCCTTAGGTACTTCGTACATTGAAGGTGTTGTTCATGTAGCCTGATAATGTCGGCCTTTGATACTCAGTGCTATACGGGTGCCCAGAAGCCCTTGACGCCTTGGTATCTGTCACCGAAGCCCTCTCCTCTCAAGGTGTGTGGGCTCCCCGCTGACCCCCTTATGTTCCAGACGCTGATCCGCTTGGCAACGCTGGTTAGAAGTGGAATTACTGGGTGACAAGCAGGAAAAGCAGGGGAAATAAGCCCCCAGGAATACGGTAACACCCCCCTTTGCAGCGGAGCGTCTCCTGCCTCGGGGAGCAAAGTGGTTCAATTCAAATCACAATTCGCTATCTCTGCCTCCGCTCGCTGCATGCATTAATATACAAAAGGACTTGACTCCCTTCTTCCGCTCACTCGTTGTCTGTCAAAAAACCACCGGCCCAATTTAACCCCATCATTTGATATTTATCGGCGTTGTTATTCTGGTTCCGGACTTCTGGACCAGCGAAATTTCAGGTTTTTCCTTAATATATATAATTTTTTTTCTTCCGCTCGTTCCATCCCAGACAATTTTCCTTCCCAGTTATATCGCAAACTTGCGTACGATTCCTTCAAATCCTCCTGGCGAGAAGATAAAGAATCCGGTCAATTCACGCAGACTGGACCTCGACATGTGCATATCTGGCCAGGGGGATCTTGGGACCGTTTGACTACAAGAACAGTTTTAAAAAATCATGTTTCCGTTCTCCTTGATTCTGTCTCTCTGGCGATCTATGGTAGCCAGTGGTGAATCTGGTCCTCCTACCAGAGACAATGGCCGGAATGTGAAGTGGTTAGACGTGAGTGTACCCCGACCCCGACTTCGAAGGTACGCACTTCCAGAATACTTATAGTTGTTGGTTTTATAGGGCCTGCGCGGAATCGCATCGTTTCTCGTCATTCTCACCCACCTGGCACGAGCGTGGGATTATGAGCTCTTCAGCGCTGGACCCGCTGAGGGAACCCCCCGACTGCTACAGCAGCCCGTTCTCCGAATTCCGTGGCAGGGACGAATCGGCGTTACCATATTTGCATTTTTGACCGGATATGTTTGCGCCCTAAAACCACTGAGGCTTTCTGGTTCCGGAAACTATAACGCTTCATTCTCTTCTATCGCAAAGAGCGCATTTCGCCGTCCCCCGCGGTTGATCCTCCCCGCCACGATCGCATTGTTGTTTGCATGGACAGTCGCTCAGTTTGGTGCTTTCAAGGTAGCTACAAGGTCGGACGTGGACTGGTTCAGAGCAGCGAGCGTCAAGGTCGACCCCTCATGGCTCAAGGAAATCAGCCGCCTGTTCTTTACTATACTATCGACGTGGACCATCGGACGTAACGACTATGACGACCATCAGTGGGCCCTGAGGCCACTACTGCTGGCCTCGATGTTGGTCTATATTCTACTTGTTGCGACTATGTATGTCAAGTATCACTACCGCTTGGCTATATACGTTGTGATGATTCTCTACTTCCATCAGGATGCTTCTCCTAATACCGGTATGTTGTTTACAAATAGCCAATCGGCCATTAATATATATCCTGCTAACGACGGAGTATTTCCTACTACAGAAACTTTTGGTCAGCAGGCATGTTACGGTATGATGCTGAGTGACATTGCTAGCAACCATCCGGAAAATTCTTATATCTCCTCTCGTCCGTGGCTCCGCCGCGCAATATGCTGGGTCGCTATCGCACTTGGGCTATGGTCGGCCTCTTATCCCGAACATGACGTCGATAGATGCGGCTGGTCCAACATTCTTCTCGAGTCATCTAAATACATGTTCCCACCAAACGTCAATCTTGGAAAACGCTTCACAGCCCTTGGAGTCGACCTCATTATTCTCGGCATATTCCTTTCTCCTTCTATCAAAAATGTGCTCTCCAACAGCTTCTTCCTATGGTTTGGTCGAAACAGCTTTGCTGTCTACCTTACCCACGGTACTCTGCTGAAGACGGTCCTAACCTATATGGTTTACGGCAATATCACCGGGGAACCATGGGTTGTCACCAAGAATGAAAACGGAGAAGACGTACTGCCTCCATGGTTCACTCGGGGATCTCCCGGCGTATTCGCCATTTGTATACCGATCTGGCTGGTGATAGTGTACACTGTTGCCCACTTCTGGACAACATACGTCGACTCCTTCTGCGCACGAGTCACCCAGCGCCTTGAAAGCCTTGCCTTTGAGTCCGACAATGAGAAAACCCAACTCCCTAGGTGATGGGAATTATGAAAGCATAAGTATGTGTGACTTTTCTACATTTAGATATATACCCTTGTTCATTTAGTTGTCTCTTTCTCTTTTGTCGTGCTTCTTTTAAGTGTCGAGCATTTGACTAGCCATCCGCTTCTTTCTTTCTTTCTTGTTTTTTTTTTCTCTCGATATTTCCTAGAGTTAGATCTGAAAGAGATGAGCATATCTGATGTATTATATACATCCCCCCTACCTTGACTGGTTTATATATGTGTTTCCATACTAGCGTTATCATATCGCCCTTCCATTACTGGGAGTTTTTGGACATATCACCTTTTGGAGAGATATAGCAGGTATCTAACATATGTGTTATTTCACTCATGCTATGGACTATCTACGTAGGTACAAAGTAGTCGTCAGAGCTATCGCAATTGACCGAAATTCGCAAAAACATGAAAACAAGAAACAACAGACATTCGTTAAATCGTAAACTGCTCTTGTCACGTTGTATTTTTTTTTTTTTTTTTTCTGTTTTTCGAGTCGTCATCATCGTAATATCATTCTGTCGTCAGTTATTTTCTCCCCCATAATTCCTCAAGCTCCTCAGTATCCCTTCCGATCAGTTTGAGGGCTTCATTTTCTACCTGCTCGGCAGAGAAACTCTCATCTCGTTTGCCGAGAGCAGCCTCGGCCCTCTCTTGCTCAAGCTCAACTATGCAAAGCATTAGTAACATGGTCCCTTCGTAGTATTTATCTTCAATGTCGGAATCAACTCACCATGTAGCGCAACTGCAGCTCTTTTACCACTGAACATGGCATGGTTGCCGTTGGTGCTGCCATCGTTGTTGGCGTCTCCAACAACAAACACACCAGGAACAGACGCCCGCATCCCCTTAAAGTTAACCTTGATCTTGTTCTTGTGAATCGGATCTCGTGCCAGTCCTAACTGGTCGGGAAGGTCGGAATGCTGTTCAGTCGGGAAATTTGTGATAAATACGGATCTCTCAACACTGGTACCGTCGTTGAAATTGACCCTGAACTTATCAAATTCCTGCCAGGTTTTCTTGTCCTGATGTTTGGAGCCATCCTGAAGACGGTCAATGGAGCTGACCATTTTGTTGTTAATCTGGACATTGTAATGCTTTAGCTGTTGTCTCCAATGGGGGTATTTCCTGTTGAGGTACAAGATGTCTTCAACGCTGTGCTCGGTTCCGTTCACGAAAGCAATGATGTCATTGTTCAGGGTTTCGAGTTCGTAAACGCTGTCCATAACATGTCGGAGTGGCCCCAAGATGCCAAGCGGCTGGTCACGGTGTTCCCAGCCATCGCACCATGGGCACCAATAGATTCCCTTGCCGAAGTTCTCCTGAAGTCCAGGTGTACCGGGGAGAACGTCTAATACACCAGTACCAAGCACGACTTTGCTGGCTGTGTACATCGCACCAGTTTTGTCGGTGACCTGGAAGAAGTATTTTCTTCCTCCATGTTCGAAAACCTTCTTGATCTTGGTCACCTTGACATCCTTGATGGAGGTAGACGTGTATCGGCTGATCTGCTGTCTAGCCTTTGCGCGGAATACTTTTGGTTCGACTCCTGTGCATCTAGTTAGAACATTTGCATGGTCATAAGAATAGTGTTTCAACTTAGGATATAAACGTACCATCATTGGTAAGCATATCATGTATATGCCGAGTGGCACCATTGCGGTAAATGCCCTCGTCAAAGAGCAAGACATGGCGACGAACTCGGCCAAGGGAGCTGAGGGCACTGAGACCAGACGGTCCGCCGCCAATAACAATGGCATCGTAGCGATGTTCTGGCCCTAGCGGAGGTTGTTCAATGACGATAGGGGCTGCAATGACAGAAGTGAGAGCAGAAGTAAATGCAATAAGGGCGAGGGCAAGACGTTGGACACCCATCTTGACGGGTTATCTCAAGCTCTGAGAGGAACTGGATACTGACAGGACGTTGATGCCTTCTTTCTTCTCATCGTCCTCGAGGGAGCTGTCGAGCAGACATTTATATCTCTCTTCAGGCATCGTAACTGTATTCGGCTAAAGGGAAGCCGGAGCACTTTCATCCTCATAGGTACATGCCTTTTTCCTTTCTGATGAGCTCCGGAGAGCAAATCACAGTTGTGATGGCAACTTCGAGCCTTCGGTAGCAGCACAGGTGGGATCTGAGCAGCTCCGTCTACCCATGAACAACGATGGGCCACCCTATCCTAGCGGTAGCCCTGCTATAGTTCATCTGCATGAAATAATGCGGCAAACAGGACATAGAAGAGCAGAAGACTAAACAAAGTACTCAGTCACTGGGGCGGCCAAAGACATCGTAACACGAGCGTCGCCTCCGAGTTCAATTGAGTTGAAATTGAAAGATGTCCACTCAACTAGTTAACTGGCGGGTTTTCAGCAGCATGCAACGCCGCTGTTAGCGTTACAACTTCCATCGTACGACTGACAGAGGCCAAAAGAAGGCTAGAACCCAAGAAAACTTTTCTAGTCGATCGTCTTCCGTGGGAGTATGGGGTATCAAGCAAGCAATCGCTGTATGCGAAGCTTCTGCAATGGTCCAAAGGAGGAGAGCAAAAGAACACCCAGGACAGTAACCGGCTCCAATCGGGACACAGACTAACTATACTGGCCAGTTATGGAACAGACATCAGCCATTTTCCAGTCATGCTCGACTTTCCAGCGGAGCAACGATTAATAGTGGCTGGATGTGCTGGGGCAGCTAAAAAAGCCTGCTATGACCATAGTTAGCTTGCAGGACTATTGAGCGTGTGGTGGATACACAGCAGATAGTTAGCCACATGATAGGTCGGTAGCTAGCTAGCCAACCACCCGACTTTGCCTAAACTAACAACGAGCAACTTAGCCCGTTAACCTAAGGCCGGAGGCGATTTGAGCGGATAACTCTTAACACCGCAGTTAGGTGGGAAAGCGAGGGCTGCGATTTGCTCGGTCTCTCCGGATAACACCTCCGGGCGGATTCTCATCGTTGAATTATTCTCTCTTATCGTCATCATTATTTCTTAATATAAACAAAAATAGATATACACCGTCCATGGACAGACAACCAAGTCCACTATATGCAGCCAATTTTTCCCTGGCAAACCTGAATAACTCCCAAAATCCTCCGTATGCAAGGACTCCATACCTCAAAAACGCTCCAATCGAAAGTGAACTAACAAGGAAAAAGACCCTCCCGCTGAACTCCGGGGCCAGCATATTCGAAATCAAACTGGAACCTCCTCTATCTTCTCGGATTTTGATTTTTGGGTATTTTCATTAACATTCGATGTCATAGCACTGCTTTCAAACGTCACCGAGCGTGAAGATCTCCGGTCCGGCTCTAGACTTTCGATTTTGACATGCACCTCGCTGACCTTGACAATGGCGTCTCTCTGGCCATCTGCACCCTGGACAATGGCCTCTTGACTCTCGGTAGTTGTCTGCTGCTCAACGCCACTGTGATAGGAATTGAGAGGATAACAACGGGTCTTCATGTTTGGGTTCACTCCATATATCGTTGTCCCTTCTTCCTTGGTGCCATACAAACTGGTGTCAGTTGCCCAATATGGACGTGGCTTTCTTCTCGTTGCAGGCTTTCGTAACATGCTACGGGGCCATGACGTTGACCCTGATGACCCGGTTGCTCTAGAGGTGGCCTCCCTGAGGATGAGTTTGACGAGTGGACCCAACATTGGGATACAGGCAGCAATCATGATCAGATATTGCTCAATGCATAACCAGAAAACGAGGTCAATCGTGTTCCACGAGTAGTCTGCTCGGGCAGAGAGGCGCGAAAGAAATATGGTCTTGACGACAGAAGCACCCACCGCTCTAAATAGCAGAACAATGATGGTGAGCGTCACTGAAAACGGGAAGAAATAAAAACGACACAGATGAAGTGTATACTTACACGAATCCAAGGGCAAAGATGGCTGCCAAGCCAAGTTTCACACGAAACGGCATTTGCAGTTTCGATATCAACCGCACGGGATAAATAGCCAGTGCAAGATCTGACGCGGCCGAAACGGCTGTGGAGAATGAAGTTCGGTTAGCAGTCTGAAAGCTCTGACATCCAAAACAACACATGCGAACCAGACTAACCTCCGGTAAAAAACGCAAAATCTCTTTGGATTCGAGGATTCCAGCATTTCCCTTTGATGCTGTGATCCCATAATGACTCCACAGGCATGCATTGGCCATAGATGGTGAAGATACAGACGAAGTTGACGACGGACAAAAATACCATGCCGCCGTAGAAATAAGGCGCTTGTCGAGTTGCATGGCCAATAATGCGCAGGAGGAATAACATGATAGATACTTTGGCCCAGTTCGTTGATGCAACGTGGAACCCTTGAGAGATCCAATTGTATTTATCTGCTTGCATTGCTTGCTCTTTGGTGAGATAAAATTGATGTCGCCCAGTGCCGTGGGCTATGCTGGTGGTAACCATCGCAGCGTTGACTACAGCGCAAGCCTAGATGAGAGAAAGAAACACCGTGTTAGATTCACACTCTCCTAGGACGACGAGGCAATATAATTACCAGGGCAAGTATAATGAATCCGTCGTCCCAGCCAAACGCTCGCACGACTTTGACACGCGTCCATATTCTAGCTATGACAAGCAGAAGAGATATGCTGAATCCAGTCCAGGTTAGAATGATGATAATATGGCCTTTGTTAACATCGCCATCTGGAGGCTCCTCTGGTAGTATCATGTTGCTGTATGCTTGTCAATATCACCCTGAGGACAGCTGGCCTCTCCAGCAAATAGACCCTAAGTAAACCCGTTAAGAACAGTGGAACACCTTCATCAATAGCAATGGCGGTTAAAGGGATGAGAAGGAAGGTTGAGTCCGTCTCCATGATAGGGGCAACGGAGCAACGGAACCGTCTTATATGAAAGTGGAGGATCGTCGTCCTGGCTCGTGGTAATTTTTTTTCTGCAAGGCGTTTGCCACTAAGAAGCAGACCCTGGGATTTATGCTGGTATGATCGTATTTTCTCTCCTGT